ACTACTTGTCACGCGATATCGTCATAACCTCCACTTTTACCTGGTGCAATCACCGCAGGACATCAGCGCAGTTACCAGCAGCAGCATGCGTCGTGGAAATATTCTGTCGCTCGAAACTGCTAGGTAAGTAAAGTGATGTGAGTTATGTAGAAGAAATGTGGACTATGCATCGTTTATCAATACGATAATTACGTCGTTTTACAAAAATCAAGAAGAGTAATTACACCAGAGTACCATTTGGAAGAGATGGAAGCGCGTTGAGGGGTTTAAAACGGCTGGTAATCATAGTATTGTCGTGCAATTGAAGTCATGAGAGTAATAAAGCTGTGCATTTGATATTCATCTTTGCCATCAATTCTCGAGATGGCCAAACCTTTCTGAACGTCGTTATTATATCTTACAGATTTTTTCTTTCACGAATGGTTGTTAGTGAACTAAGGAGGAGAATTATATAAATTTAAAGAGAACAGCGAATTAAATCAGTAGCGGTCGTAACGACTCTTACACACAGAACGTGCGTTTATTTGCAATTCATCAACTATAAATAGATCGATTCAGGTGTATGTGGGCTAATGCACACAGGTTTCTCTTCTGAATTCAACGTCTAAATCGTGGTTGTCAGGTACCATATGGCCAACCTCAAAGCCTAAGCCAAGTAATATCCTGAACTTCTGATATTACCAGCCCATGTCCTAGATACATTTTCAGTAATCCATTTTCCGTCCTTGGCACCTTGAATGCTCTTTTACCAGACTATTCGATCGTCATTACCCATGCCTCATTGCTTTCGAATTCAAATGCATTGGTAATACTCGGATTTGGTATGGATGCCTTCGTGTCATGTATTTCGCCTCTTTTGATCAGTCGATGACACGCTCTTGTACTTTGCCTATGCGTCTTTAAATGCGGATGATGGAGCTCAGCAAGTCGACCGTTTTGTCACTCTGCTCAATGAGCTTGGTCGTCATATGTTCATGTCTTCTACCTTGAAGCACAAGCAGATGTGGCTGGATGTGAATTACTTTGCCTGATGCAATTTGTAGGGGTTTCGAGTCCTATGGACAACATCTTTGTAATTATCACAATCCACAAAAATGTAAACACATAATCCCCAAAGATACTTACATCTTGACTTAATAAATAGACCATTTGTTCATATTTTTTAAAAATGTATGTAAAAAAAGTTCCATGTTAATTTCAAAGATAGCAGTCACTGAACATGCCGACAGCTTCAAGAGCCGACTTTCCGTTTTGCAATCTCAAGAGTCGGAAGGTAGGTATCTCTTCAAGTAATTTGTTTATCCAATTGCAAGTATATTCGGCATCATAAATAAAACACGATGCGAATACCCGGTCTAGTAATCTGGAACTAGCTTGTGATACAGACGTATCCTAATAACAAGCAAAAAGAAAGTTTAGTTGCTATGGTCATAAAGTGACATTAGAATTCAGAATAGGACGCCCACGAATACATGCGTATCCATACTGACTTATTACCATGCACATGAATCTGCCGTAAACGTCGTCCTTCATAATGAAAACCAGGTTAAACACCAAGTTTACGTTTAACTTCAAATGCGTCCATAGAATTAAAAGTAGGGTAGCGTAGGCCCTGTTTACGCTTTCCCTAACTCGTAGACATTCCTTCCGGTCAGCGAATATGTATTCATAATCACTTCATCACGGTAAGTTTGAGTCGCACATAATTCACACCCGTTGTGATTTGTAACCGGAAGTACGATGAATTGCAAGTGTTGAACAAGATACCATTGTCAAGAAGAATAGACTTGAAGTTGATAAAATTGGCTTGTTATTGTATTTGGTAGTGCGCGCAGAATGGATACCGGCAACAGCATAGTTTTAATGTAATGACGGCATAACTAAATGATAAAAGCAAACTATGTTAATATAAGCTCCGTACGATGACGTCTACGTCAATATGCACAGTAGATTGACTTACGATTGACCAGTAATATGAAAGTCTAGTAATTTTTTCCATATTCGGAGAAACGCTAATACGAGTAATAGTATTAGCTGTTCCATATCATAAAATAATCCAACGTTCATTGGCTGTGTTTAAATTGGAATTGTCAACGTTAACATAGATCTAAACGTATGGGAACATATGAGAGAACGTTGGTTCTACCTGATCTAAACTATGACTGATGCATCGTTAGTCCATGATATGTGTCAGTTCCGTCAGCATTGGTCGAGCGTGGACCCAATTCAAAGAATGATCCAGTCATAGAATTGCATCCAGGACCATCATTCAGCTGGCAATGTGTATTCGTATATTGTGTTCATAGTCGACTGGACTGGATCAGTTAAGGGGTTGTCTCTCGACTCAAAAAATCAGGAGAGGAAACGTCTATAACTGTGCATTGAGATACTGTAACATCGTGCGAAAAGGTAAAAATAACAGCAATGAGCATATAGTAGCTGACAGGAAAGATGCAGTCCTATGCTTAGTATAGAATAAACCTCGATTAAAATTATCGTAGTGTTTTTTGATGAGGTGAAAAAATGCCACTCCGAAGTTGTTATTTTACTTTTGCAAATAAATACTGGACGGTTTCTTAATTCTGGCTGATGGTCGAGAGATCAATTTTCGCAACGCCCTCCACACATATAGATGTAAACGCGCGTACATTACCTGCTTAATACTATCATCACACAATGCTGCCTCAAACCGGTCGATGTGCTTTATTGCTTTTTTATCCTTTTCTGATCTCCCGATAATAATAACGAAAAATCTCTACCCCAGACATTCGATGCATGTGTTTTGATTTAATCCACGAGTGCTTAATCTTATTACATCGTTTAAAAGATAGAGTTCGGCTGCCTCTCGAACTCTTTTCGTAGTCTCACACGCTTGCGTTTCGTTCACTTTTTCGACAGGATGCGAAGATCGCATGTTGACAACCACGCAAGGGGTTCAAATTTTATTGGACCACATCACGTGATTATTGCATAACAACGATTATACAGTTATTAAAATGAATAACCCTATCGATCCAAACTTCCATTACGTCTACGCGGATAACCTTGGTCATGTATGTGGGATTGCGTTCTCAATCAAACCAACTTAGGTGCGAACAATAACAAATTCTTTGGATAGCGAAACTGGCTACATTTTATTGCCTATTCACGAGTCGTTCGATCATTTTTTGATTCAGGGGTCCCAAGGTCATAAACCCTCTGATTGAGACACTTAACTTCTGTACTTTGCGTTTGTCAGTTCCTAATACATGCAACTTGGTATACCATGAAAGTCTAACAATCAACGATTGTCCCTAAATAACATAATTATGTTATTTCCATCACTCATAACTTAGACTAAGTGGGTTGATCATAAAACTCAAGTCATTCGGGTGATAGATAAAGTATATCAGTTTGACATGGGCGACTACTCTGTATGATGCTTTAAAGCTTCTAGAATTTTAAAAGCTAATTGTAATAGTTTTGGACAACAAATTTAAAAATAATACATGAAAAGATAGTAGTTTTTTTGTCAAATAAAGCTAAATAGAGTGTATACAATCCGTGAATAAGAAATGCAATAAATGTGACATTTGTTCCAGTATAGTAATAATAATACGTAATCGCCATTCCAGTTTAATAGTCGTTTCTTCTGATATTATCAAACCCTTGGATACATAGACTCTCCATAGCAGTATCTAACATATCCATTGATGCAGAACGCCCTTTATGTACGATGTATTTGAGTGCGTAAATCCGAGGATATTTCAAGTTCGTCAATAATTCTTTTAGCCTATGGAATACCCCATTTAAATGGTTACTCCTTATTGCATAAGTAACACGTTGTACTTATATGGTTACGTGCAAAAGCATATCAAGTGAGACAAGTATGTCATATTCGTCATCTAACATGATGAATACGTGTCCACTCATCTCTCCATCACACAACCAAAGCGCAAATACTAATATACAACGCGGCGCGGCAATCCCTCTGACATCGCTTCATATCACCACATACAACACGAACGAATTATCAAACAACGAATTCTTACCGCTCAAAACCGAGTGCAAAAAAGTACATGTGTGAAGAGAAGGCACCCACACTATGAGTGTCCCTACTCTGAAGATGCTGCTTTCACCTAAATCCCTTCAAAGATGTTACGACATAGATGGATATCTATATGACTTTTCTCTTTCTCTTTGAAGGTACGACTCATATCCGATGTAAATACACAAAAAAGACGTATTTTAATCAATTCAGCAAATAAAAAGATGGCAAGAATCCGCGTAGTCAGACGAGAAAAAAGAAGAACCACGAATTTAGCGGTAGGAGAAGTATTCGACGCTAACCCGGATTGCATTAGAGTTCGAATACGAGAGAGTCGTGCGAAGAACTCTCGTAAACCGCGGAATACTCGATATATAAAATACAGGTGAGAATCTCACTAAGTATTTGTAGAATAGTTATTATATCCGAAGGTATGCTGTCACTAGGTGTAAATCGAGCCACAGCTTGCAAGATATTGTATTTAGGTAAACTACCATAATGTGCATATATGTACCTGAAAACACTACACCGACTCTGTTAATGCTGTCTGAGATGATGTTTCCTCTAGCTGTAGTGAATAATATATATGAAAAGCACTTTATGAGTTCCTATTTACGAATCTGAATGGCTGTGAACGTTCTTCTTCGTTACGATAGGATATATTGATTAGTGAGCGCTTCGTGGCCACAGTTAATGTGAACGTTCGTCTCTGATCTTGACTATTACCATAAATGCTTACTTTTTTTGAATTATTAGTCAGTGTAACTGCGGGGACGGTGGAATTGACTTGATCGCCGTCCGTAAAAAGACCGGTTTCTATTTTCAATGAAAGCGTTGGTTACTTTGAGTCGGTTGGTATATTAAATACATACGGAAATAAAATAATTAAATGTTCGGATTTTAATAACGTTTGTTATTTTATATAGGTGCCAACGTAGTAGACGCCCTAGCGGTGCTTCGCGATCTTGATAAAATGACAGATCTTCAACCTTTGTATAGAGATTACTTTGACGAAACGTCCGTTGAAGAATGGTCGTACCTCCACTTTTTAAAATCTTTTGAGTCTGTTATTATGGCAAATATAGATGCCACAAAAGATGGAGACAAGGGCACTTGGGGAAAAGATTCGTTAGACGTTTAGAAAAATTATATACGATGACGCATGTTCTTCGCAAAATACAAAAGAGGCGGTGGCGGCGATAGTGGCACCACCGTTCACAGAAGATGCAAGAAGAGCAGCAGAATCAGCACCGATTTCCGTTATCCTCACTGACGAAGATAATGTGACCGACGCAGTTCTAAATTATCAAACTAAAAAAAAGGCAAACCGTGTCGGCGGTGTCGAATTAGATATGTAGATTCTAGTAATAGTAACCTTTACAAAAATGTGTTATGAGTAGGAGTTGGGGGGGGGGGGTTGTGATGGGAACGACACAAAGTCTTGTAAAATATTTCTATTAACAAACAATCAGATTATAATAATTGAAAATATAATGCTACATAAGCTTTTCAACGTTATCTAAAGACATTTCCAAATTAGAAATCTCAGAATACATTTGTGTATTTATTGTTTGTGGAGCTGATATTGAATATATAAATCTCTCCGAACGCGAATATTTTCAACTAATTCAATCTATTATTTTAGATTAGGAACCTCAAACGACTAAAAACGCAATGCAAGAAATTCGAATTTGAGGTCTTGGCATTTTCGATATACTGTCCGTTACTTCAATGACTTCGCCATGATAGAAGCTCTAGTTCACGCACAAATTCCAAAATTAGTGAACAAAATTGAACAACTCCAAACGGCACTCGCTAACATTACATGGAGTGTCTCTGTACGGAGAAATGTGTCTGGAGTGCATGGCAAATCTATCAAACCATCGATTGAGTCGAAGATGACCGATATTGCAAATCGCGTGTGCGCATTTAGGGGGATTGCAAAATTTTATGCGTCTTTTATTCAATGTGAACTTGTTTGAAAACCTTGTATTATTTTAACTAATCATAGCCGTTATCCAACAAAACGAGAGGTTAATATTGTTGAAGAACTTAATGTTAATTATCTTTAAATAATAGATCAAAATAATGGTAAAATTACTTTGAATGTTAAACGATTCAAGGAAGAGAAAAAAAGAAAATTCATTTTGACGAGTGTTAGTTATTATTTTCTTATTTTTTAACTTCGGATATATTATCGACCGCTCAACAAATAGTGAGATTCTCACCTTACACGAGTTATATAACCGACAATGGGTTTAATTAAAACAAATAAAATATTATACGTTCAAGAACTAATAACCCATAAGCTTTGACCTTTTATTGAAATAAAACAATTTATTTTGAAAAATTAAATCACCATATTAATTACAATGCTTTTCAAAAATCGAATTTTGCAACAATATTGACAAATTGCCAATTACTTTATTGGGTGAGTGGAGCTAATTAGAGTTCAATATGATAATATTTATTATTATTAGATGATTTTAAGTAAGATAAAAAGACGATGATACCAATATAAAGTACCATCAAAAAGTTCAAAATATTTAATATTTCGGGTAATGTTATACGTCGAGGTTGATATATCCCCATATATCTAACTATATTATTTCTGTCAGTGAGGATAATATCAGACCTCGATAGTTTGGCCCAAAAACGAGCCCACAAAGAGAACCGATCACTCACCATGATACCCACGGTACCTGGTGAGCAATGGTTGGACAGTATTCTTTTTAGTCCCCGAACATGTTCAACCACTAAAATAAAGTAATATAAGTATATTTGTGACTCTTATAAAAATAATATTATTAATTACCGATTTGGTCATCCTCCTTGCATAGGATGACATAGGTTATACCATCATGTATAACCACTATGTCAATCCCACCGTTCGGTCCGTCATCACTGTAAAATGGAGAACGATGAGTAATGTGTCATCACAGTCAAGACCATTTGAAGAACGTTCACAGCAGGCCGTCCACCGTACGCCAGGATTGGGTACCTGACTGGCGACTTTCGCAAGCTGCGGTCACGACGCGCTTTTAATTCAAATGGTCAATTGTATCCTATTTACCACAGCCCGGGTTCAAATCCACAGCGCGACGTTCGGCAACGGAGAAGAACGATCAATTATCCAGCTATTAATAACCTTCAAGTTGTCGTTTCGATTCTCCGATTTTTTACACCTAGTGGCATGTCACTTCTGATACAATAACCATTAAGCAACTACTCAGTAAGAACTCTTACCATACACAAGGTGTATAACCGTGATTTATTAACAAGGTTTCGATTTCGTTGACGGAACCTGACATTTCTGTAAACAAAAAGTACTCTAGGTTTAATATTACTTGGATTAAATAAAATATCATGGTTAAATCGTTATCTTTAAACAACTACCTCAAGTCGAAGGCAAAAAAGTTTTTTCGGGAGGTAAAGGGAAGAGTTGATAATCTGGGGGGAGTTTAAAAGTGGTTAGCGATAGCCACCGGATTGGTTACAGTAACGTGACTGCCCGTATGACATCTTCAGCCAGTCATCAGCTTTAAGATCTTGTGTCGCATGTGAGATTTTGTATTGTCAATATTAAACTTTGTGTGTGAGTGGACGCAAAATTGCGTAAAAATGACGCATATTGATAGAACCATTTGGAAAGACTGAGAAGGTGCTTATATAAACAGTCACATGCCATAGAAAGATTTGGAAGGATTAGGGGGTGGTTATATTTTTAGATATGTAGATTACGGTAATATAAATATAAACACTTACGTGTTGTAGAAACATTTAGAAGGTTTGGTGTCGCACCACACTGAGCATTTACATTTCTTAATATTAATAAGAGAAACGTTTAAAGAGTAAGTATAAAAATATATTGTCTAATTAAATTGTATAATAAAGAATTGTAAGTTCTCTTGGCCTTGGTTTTTTGAGCGTCAACCCCGTTTCCCAAGTAGATTGAAAGTATGTTTACTGGCAAGCGATCAACGAGATCGAATCTTCTACTCTGATTGGTTTAAATCTAAAGCCTTTCTCTTTGATCGTTTCTTGAAAGGCAGAGTTTGTGAAATACCTGCTGAAAAATTAAAGCTGACGCTTGAACAATAAATGTCTGTCAGATACAGGACATGTCGTTAATGAGACATTATTGCCGTAAGTGTCGAAGCCATAATAGTGTTTTATTTATAAATTAGACCGGATAGAGAAACAAACAAGGCAAATGATGTATTAAATTTAACAGATAGAGACTTAAAAAGTAGACTTATAAATGTCAATTTTATATAATCTTATAAACCGTTTACTGAAACATATTATACTAACCAAGCTTGGCGGTGTAAACCATGTCACCGTACTAAAAGCCAACCTGTTTGAGGATGGCTATTAAAATGTCACCATTTCCGTCGTTCTCGCTATTATTATAAAAGAAAATAAGTATTGTGTCATAATGTTCAAGCCTGAAACAAACAAAAAGAACTGTATGTAATCTAAAAAATATTGTACTGTACAAAACATGCTAACGCGCAAAACGTTTTGACAGTTCAAATTCCTACTCGGCGCAGCCAGAGGAATGTCTTGATAGTTTGCAACCTTATGTGTCTACCAAAACTTCGATTTACACCCAGTGCAGCATGCTTCAAATATAATAACTATTCTACAAATACTCGGTGAGATACTCACTACTCTCTCCTCTGTATACACGGATTCCAAGAACCGGCTGCTCTCTCATCTAAAATTCGTCCATTTTCGCTTCTTTGGCTTTAAGCGTTTGTTGGTCGTATGTGCGTAATGAGGAATGGAAGCGGCGGCAAAGAACTGTTTGTTGTCTAATGACCTATTCGTTCAATATGGTGTGTTGACGGAGGATTGCTTGTAGACTTGTACGACGTATTTGAGCTTTGATATATATACATATGAGTGGCACTACTTGATGCTTTCCGCGCGTTAGCGTAACCTGAAGTCCAGCGTAAAGATCCTGCATCAATGGTAAATCATAAACGGGTATCAATACATTGTCCAGTGTAACGTAAGCACACACAATCACACAAAAATAAGAACAATAGTAGGGAGTTTCTTACTATTGAATTCATTAACCCCTACTATCACTATATTCTGACTGATGGCATTTTTACTCCAAAATGTTTCACTCATATAAACGATTTCTCATATTTATAGAAACAGAAGTTTCTACAGATCGTTATAAGAAAATCTGGATGGCACATATCTTTTGTAGGTATGCGGGATCTACTCGTTGTGATTACCTAAGAAAGAGGAAAGGAGTTGACAATGAAATATGTTGAAAAGATATCAATAAACCAAAGTATTTACGTTGGCCTTTGTATTATGTATTTATTATGCACATCTCAATTGTATCTTTTGAACTCATATTCGTCTTAAGCTGACGCATGCGGTATTCTAGCCATTGAGTTAACATCTTTATTAATCTAGCATTATGATTAAATCAGTTTATTGAACACGAAAACAAATGCTGTGAGATGGATACATTTAGCCTTGGTGTAATACTGCGGGAAATATCCATCAGCAAAGACTCATGTGTGGAGAGCTTATTGGCACTTTTCATACGTTTGTGTTCTAAGTTTAATCCATTTGACATTGTTGAGCACAACAATTGACATTTTCAGTTCAATTATCTTAGGAAGTTTTTCGCTCGTTAAATGACACAACATAAGAGCAACTCCAATTGACATAACCGTTGGGCTGTCTACAAACGAACGTTTAATGAGATCACAGGGTTGATACACTGATTTTAGTTGGAAGCATCTGTGAGTGTACATCAACACGTGAGTTAGTTTACCAGAATATACTCACTTCCGACGCAAGTACAACTTCTCTGTCAGACACTTTGGCGACATTCCTATAGCTTGATACGATGTAAGTGGTATTTGTATGCTAATTATAAAATGAATGTAGCTAATTAACGATATATGACACCAAATATTCAGATAATTGGAATCATTAAAGAACGGTCTACTCACGCATAGTATTTAGTCTCTACTGTTAATACGACCAATAGTAGACAAAATTATGGAGTGTTTGAATTGTCCTATTCCTGCCGATCGAAACCATTTGGGTGGGCTATCGTATCAACCGATTAATCGGGCGGCAATTCCGTACCAAAGAATTATTGGAGAAAACACTTATTTTACGGTCTTAAAAAATCGGATCTGGTGGTAATTACGAAACAGTCTATACTGCTGCAAACGTAAGTATTCAAGAAAAAAAGGAGGTACCAGAAATTGTACTAAAACGCTTTAACAGTTATGATCGGTACATCTTTGTTCTCTTTTATTTCAATATACAGTGGTACTGTTATAACGTATTTTGTTAACTTGAAAGCCATACTGAGAACTAGCTAATTTTGCTCAGCTCGGCCAAAAGTTTGGATAGGCAAATCAAATGTTATTTGCGGTTTTGACATAAATAATTTCATTTGCGTTGTTAAACTTGCATCGTCAGGGGCTACAATATCATTAAAAGAATGGTGATAGAACTTCGACGGATTGATACAATCGATAAGCAGCAGAAGGAATCAAGGTTTTGGTTCTTTCAAAAAGTGCCAAAGTTTATTCAA